TCTTCTGGCTGGACTTCCATCATGTGCAATCAGACCTCTGCAAATGACTCAGAATGCAACAGCACGTCTTGTTTTCAATGAGCCCAAGAGAGCCCAAGCCCAAGAAATCCCTGAATGTATGTTGTTAAAAAGCCAGAAAGTTCCTAAGGCCCTGTACAATAAACATTTAATCCAGAAGGAGTTAAGAGGATACCGTGTCGGATCAGAGAGATATGCACTAACTGCACCCAATGGGCTCAAACAGCTCCCCTGGGTGCCTAATGGCTTCTATGACCAGGCCAAAGTTCGCAACCCACCTCTGGCTCTGTTGAGTAAACTTCACTGAACCCTCTGACCTGCTGTGGGGTCTGAAGCTGAAGGACAGAAGCCAGTGTTGGCTGCCCTCCACAGGCTGGGAGGTCTAGCCTCTGCAGTGGTGAAGTCTTGCCGTCTGTTGGCGGTTCTTGTGCCTTGTGGGTAACCCATCCTGTTTGTTTAGCAATATCAAACCGTGGGTTTACAGAAACCCCATGGCAATGCTCGAATATTATTCCACACCTTCCCACGGACGAGAGAATAATGTGAAACTAGGCTCTAATCAAACTGAGCAGAACAACATACGGAGACAAGGCCGAGGAGTTGTGGGAGCAATTTTGCGGAAGAGATTCTTTGGACTCTCTCTGCTCCTATAACCCTTGTATTTTTGGCCCTACTGAGAGTCAGATTAAAATGAACCATAATATGTCAACATTATTTTAGACAGTGGGAATTTTCCATTGTGGTTAAGGGCCAAATTACTCTTATCCTTTGCACTAAGCCTGACAGACATCACATGAAAGCAATGCACTGATATAAAGCATGCATTTATGAAAATAAAATTATTATTTTTTTGTACCATATAACTTTTTAATTGAAAAATGCATACCTTATTAAAAAAAACTGAAATCTTCGTTTGGTTTGAAATATTTTTCTACTGTATTTTTTAATTTTCACACACAGGACCATTTCAAACCATTCATATTATTGTAATAAACTCCCAAAGTGACTATAATTTAGTTAGTAGCGCCACCTATTGGTGAAAATACTGAACTTCAACTTCAGGTAGTATTTCAGGTTGTTTGTGGCGACATCAAGGTTATTATTGTTAACTAAATATTAAACATCTAATAACTATTAAAAACATTTTTTGTTGATTGAAATAAATCTGAAATAAAATAACATAAATATTATATGAACACCAGAATACAACAGAAATATATGTCAATTAAAATTATTTTAAAATCAATTTAAATTCATTACATAACTAATAAAAATGACAAGAGCACATGACAAAATTACTAAAAATTAAAATGAAAACATGATTAAAAATTAAAATATAATTCTAAAAATAAAAGCTAATTTAAAATAATATTATTCAAAAATAATACTGGGTGGCATTTAACAAAATAGCAAATAATTTAGTAATCTCCCTCAGATTTGGTTTCTTTTGTTTTTATTTATTTATTTATTTTCTGACATTTCTGTTACAGAACCAAAAATCCATAAAGTCAAAAATCCGTAAGTGCAGAGTCCACTGCTCTCTATAAATGAATAGAAACAGACAGGAAAAGAAATCATCAGGAATTCATTACTGCTTTCACTAAAGTATACAAAAGGAATAGAAATAAAAAAAGTTATACTTACCTATAGACATTGTGATGGGATAACTGTAATCCCATATAAGTGTGACTGCTGAATAGGGAGATAAGCTGTGTTTTTCCCAGTGCTTTGATCTATCACCACTATCCCATCTCTGAAAGGACATTCGCATCATGAATATACTACCAATGACTTCAGCCAGATCATATTAAGTCAAATTGATGCAGTGTATCAGAGACTCACCTCTCCCAGTCAGTGTAGTAAAAGTGGCTGTTATAGATTGCCAGGCTGAACGGGTAGCTCAAAGCATCCTGAAACACATGTCTCTCAGTCCCGTCTGGAGATATGCACTCCAGTTTCTTTGTGCCTGGTGAGTCAGTTGACTTTTATCTTGAAATTATACTGCATATGTATGTGTATGCTAATACGAGATGCTATACTTTGTGGAAATTCTTACCTGCATCTGCCCAGCACAGCTGATTTGTGTCAAAGTCCAATGTCAAGGCATTAGGCAACATGAGACCCACTTGCACCAG